TACAGAAACTGGCTGAACTACAGTCGACCAGTGCAGCGTGTTCAGAACAACCAGCAGAAATGATAGGAATGATTTGGATTCACCCCGGTGTGTTGAGACTTGGATCTGCGTTTGTCGTGGATGTGATGAAGGATAGCGGTTTACTGTGTTTCACATCCCCATCTTGTTCTCTTCAAGTACTGAAATCACTGGCTGTGTGCCAAAGAAGAAAAAGTTAAAAGAAATATTCCCTAATTTATAAAAAAAAAGATGCTGCTACACATAAGAAATACTCTTCTAACCACCAGTAAATTCTTCCACTTTTTGAAAATGCATGCTGGGAAATCACATTATGAAACTAGACATCTTGATGCAAATGTGTCATGGGTCAACAATTCTTGACTGAATATTTGACCAAAGATCCCTCTTCTTTTTTGCCCAACATTGATGTGAACACAAGATGTGTGCAAGAATGAAGAAAGTTGAAACAGTTTAGAACTGGATTATGGTGATAAAAAAAGGAAGCTTATTGCAGTACTGTGTGCAACCAGCTGATAAGGGGTGAAAGTCATATGTGGAACATGGTGTTAAAGTACAATAATAGCAGCATACAGTCAGTCTGACTGACACAACAGATGGAGCGTTCAGGACTGTAGACAGTAAATACCTGTCCATGTAGCAGTTCTTTGTTTTGTGTTGTAGCACTGACCAAGACAACAAGGTGCCCTATCTTTGTCTGTAACTCTGACGCTAATACCATAGCAACAAATCATCTTCATGCAAATGCGTAACCACATCAAGAGGAAACAACAGCTTTTTACTATTTACTAACGCTCTGTGTTTTGAAAGGACACGTCGTTGTCATTCACAATTAAGTGAAACATCTTTAAAAACTGGTCATTTTTCGGCTCACCATGACAACAAGTGGTGCCACAGCCACGGTCTCACACCCATGACACCAAGAACAGTGAGAAGTAAAGGATGCTACGCACAAGTGAAGCCTGAACAGCAGCTGCTGTGTCATGAGAGGGACTCTTTGTGCTAAAAGCAGAGCTGCTTAGTATTAGCATCAGTCGACAGATAAAAGTGGTGCTGCTAGAGCAAAGGACACATAAGGAACATCTTTCTTTTGGACATACTCTGCTAACTGCTGGTAGGTAGCATGTTGTACAGGCCTGAGTATAGAAACATTAATGACGTCATTAATGAGAAATGAAAGAGTGCTATCTTCTTATCTTCAGAGGATCGTTGGCAGCTGAGAGAGAGCTTATTTAGTAATGTAGTGCTGCAGGATATGTTATGTAACATAACCAAGTGCTCTAAAAACTGGTGCCAAGAGCAGGGGAAGATACAGGGACAGTGAGAATTAAATTGTAGTACCATTTCTACAGTGTTCTTTTGTGTGAAATGTTCATGAAAACAGCGCTGATATCAGTGAAAACCACCAGGCAAAATCTGAGGATCTGAGAATTCATCATCTGATGTTGAGTATGACAGAACTGACACTCATGGTGGGATCGTATCGTGGTCTAAACCTGTGGTTCCCAAACTTTTTTGTACCAAAGATCGGTTGTGCCGGTATCGGATCGAATACCATGCCACCATTGAAGGATCACTAAATTTTGGAAAATGTAAAGGGATATGACTGTATTCTTTTTTCAATGAAGTAAATTAGTAAAAATAAAGCACATTTTTTTCCACTGTGTCCCACTGCGGCCTGGTACCAAATGACCTACGGACCGTCACCGGTTCCTAGAGCGGGGTTTGGGGACCCCTGGTCTAAACCAGTAAGAGGCAGAGCATGGACGGGCCTTGGTCTCCAATTGGCTGTGCACCTGTTCACCACACTAAGTTGTTTGTGTTGAGTGTCAGAGTAGCCGAAAAAGACAATAAACGTGACAAAATGAGAGAAATAAAGAGAGGTAGAACAATTGAACGTTTCTTTTCTTAAGAAAACCAGCCCCACATAGCCCCACATCCAGCGCTACATCCAGCTCCACATCCAGCTCCACATCCAGCTCGACCTCCAGCTCTACATCCAGCACCACAACCAGCCCCACATCCAGCCCTTCATCCAGCTCCACATCCAGCTCGACCTCCAGCTCTACATCC